ATAAGACAATTGCAACAGTTTTAACGTCTGCAACGTGCCACTGTTCTCTCACTGCATATGCTACTATGACAACTGCAAAATCGACAAACTAAACTTTGACAGGTTTATCTCAGAGCGTAACGTCGTATATTGTGCTGGATTGTTTTATCTGTCAGAATATTGCGGTTCCAGTACATCTTATGGGACTCACTTTCATGCACCGTTTCTGGATGATATTGGTAGTACGGTGTATCGATGTTCTGCAAAAATCCGTATTTCTTAGCGAGCTTGGCATGGATGATCCGACCCACTAGATCGTGTCTCGTTTTGTAGTCTGTTGGGGCTAGTGCACTGCAACCCGAGATGATATGCTGAATGGTTTCATGATCTCGGCCATACATTCGACACTCATCACTATGTATTTCTGGGTCTTTAATTATGTATTTAAGGTAGTTCTTCGTTGGGACAACCTGATCTTGAATTGCCACCATAAAGCCTTTGTTCTCAGGTACTAATATCCTATGCTGAGCCATTTGTACGACATTTCTCCGTCGACATTTGGAATGGCAATTGCAGTAGGAAATGCACCGTGGAGGACTTTCTATTTTCAGAAATCCATTTCTGGTTGAAAAGATGACTGTTGGATTGAGATATTTCGTTGTTTTATATTTGAGTATAGTTGTCACCTGTACGAAATGTTGTGGCCTCTACGACCATATTGTGGAGTTCAGAAGTATTCGCTTTCTCTGCAAAACACTTTCTCGTGACTGTAATCTGCTTAGCGTGGAGGTTTGTCAACTTCACGATACCACGCCCTCCCATTCGTCGCGGCAGTGTCATCCTCTGAATAGCGCTTCTTGGGTGGTGGCAACCAACACGTGTCAATTGGACTCGCACCTGTCTTTCCATTTCCTTTAGGTCTTAAGAACCATTTGAGAATACCCATCGAAAATATGACAATGGGAAGAGCGTATGTGTTGATGGCAACCGTGAGGTTTCGAAAATTGAGGGAAGTCACAACAATAGACAGTAGCGGCCGCCACCCTCATCGCCACACATGGTTCGTATTATTATAAACTTTTGATTTTATTTGTGGCTAAAATGCGCATAATTGATGCGTTTATGTACATGAATACGCAGAATCAAGTGGCAGAAAACCATTTGATTTTAAACGTTTGAATGTTTTAAAAATGTGTATATGTCGAGCTCCGTTTTTTAGTTTTCAAATGACAGCTTAAGTATAAGTAAGACACAAATTGTCACAAAATAATATTAGATACCTCATTACCAATATTATGGAAAAGTGTGCGCTAGTGCAGTCCGACCAATAATATGTAAATATGAATTTTCAAAATACTCAACAATATTTGTTCATATGGATCAAAAATATTTTAAAATATCCTGGATTCCTTTTGCAGAATATCTGGTTTCATGTATTGTTGTGCCTGAATGGCTAAAATTGATATAAATATTCAGTGTTCTGTTAAAAGTAGCTTAAAATTACAATATTTGAGCTGTTTGTAAAATTGGTAGACATAGGATTGTGACATGTCAGGATAGAGTAAGTTTACAGATACGGTATTTCTATCTCAAGTTTATATACTCTTTAACAAACACTATAAAATTTGTATAAGTCTCCTCGGGAGGGAGCTATTCCTGCCGCCCTCCGCAGCCCTAACCCCTGAAGCATGGCGCCTCAGTTACCGATTCGAGTACCCCAGCGTATGCGAACCGGCAGCGCTCCTGGCCTCCAAGTCCGCCTGGCAAGAGCACCACCTCACAAAGCCGAAGCTTGCAACCACCCACATGGCTGGAGAATTCTCACGGAGATCCCTCCATGATTGAACAACCATGATCCCTCTAAGAAACCCTCGACGCAGCGTGCTCCGCTCGTTCAAATATCGGGGATCACGTGACAGCGTGCCTTTCTTTCTTTTGTTCCTTCATTCTTTCCCCTCCCCAGAATCCCTGGAGAGGCGGGAGTTTATTCAGTATTGAGTTTACATATTTTGCTTCAGCCTGCAAGTCGTGTGAAGTTTAGGGAGGCGGTATCTTAAACTTACTACTTAAAACTACTTGTATACTAAACTAACAGTCGCCTCATTGACCTTACTTTAGTTAACATGAATTGTTGGTGCATATCCCGCCTTTTGAGCTCGTTTGTAGAGTCTACAATGTAGACCCACGGCTTATAAAACGTTATCCGATGTGCCATGTGCCCGTCTAGGCACCCCGGCCAGCCGTTGCATACCGAGGTTGCATTCCTTTCCATAAGTTGGGTCTTGTGCAACCCCTAGACAAGCCTTCTAGCTTTTGGGGGCTCGTGCGTCATCTGCGCGCCAGACGCACGTAGTCGCTGATTATTTCTGTTCAGCCCCTATTGTTTGGAGTGCTTGGTTGTTATTTCGGCCCCTCCAAGCACAACATCCTATCGCCGGCCGGCCTTGCCTTATGACCTTACAGAATATAGGACTATCCGCAGAGGCGGGATTTCGGATCTTTTATTGGGAGGCAAAGGGTCCCCCCGAATAAGATTGGAAAAAGTTCCCCTAAAACAAATGGCATATGAGTAGTTACACTATAATTCTAACATAAACAATATTTTTGAAAGATTTCTTAGCCCCGGCCCACCACCCACACTACAGCCAGAAATATTTTATTTTTTTCAACTAAACACTGTTTTAAATGATTGAAATAAAATGAAAAAAATATACTATCATAAAAAATTGATACTTTCTCAGCACTAAATTTAAACGCAAAGTTTGTTTAAAAAATAACAAAAAATAATTTTTACTGTATTAAAACCCTGGAAAAGGCTTGAAAAAATTTCAAAAGTTCTTCTTAAAACACGAAATATGATTTTATAAGATTTTTTTCAATTGTTGAGCTGTAGTTCAAACAATTAAAACCATTTTTACAGTTTGAAATTACTTTGAAAATGCCTGCAACAGTTTTGTACATTTATTTGAGTGTTTATTATACATTTGTAATAGACATTTTTCTGTTGTCCAAAAAACAATGAAACTTTTTTGATAATGGTTTCGACATTATGATTAAAACATCAGATACGCTTTTATAATAACAGAAAAGGGCAATTACTCGATTAACATTGCATATGTCAGAAAATATTCACTGGAGAAAACGGGTTCGCTTTTCTTTCTCAGTGTACACTTGGCATTAAACAAATGTCATGCATTAGTTTTTTTATAGTACATTAGTTTACATAGTACATTAGTTACATATCTTACATTGTAATGGAAAAACACACAAAATATAATAAAATAAAGAGTTCATTCAACATCATTCGTATATTGTCACTTTCTCACTATTTCAAAAATTGTAAACGCGCAGTTTTTGGTTTCTAACACACTGGCACACTTTCTAGAACTGGCGAATCACAGAAAAGTAAGTCACTTAAGACTTCACTAGTGAGGCCTTTTTTTGATTCCGTACGTTTTGCAGCGTTGTCAAATTTCTTCATTTCGAGATCCGTTTAAGAAAATATTTTTACGTACACAACGGCCTAATGTTTTGCGTTTGCCGACTACGCTTCCATAGATTACAAGCAGTGTTGGAAAACATATGATTTTTGTCGCATCGCGGACCCACGAAACATTGTTTAGGAAGGGGCGAATAGTTAGAATTTAATACAGCTCCTATTTTGTATGCCATTTTGTTAATATTCACAAAAATGCAAATAAAATATCACCCGTAAGTTGTTCGGGATTTTTTTCTAATAACATCATTTAGATTTAGATTTATTTAGTCAAAAACAGTAAAAACCGTGTGTGAAGATCATCTGCGCACGTTTTTTTGAGTTCCAGAATCCCTTTCCATTATTTTAACTATAAATAGTTGATGGATGAGTAAAAGTTAAAGATAAATAAATGAAAATGATGTTTAAAAGACCGAAATTAGCAACATTAAAAAAATTTTGTTCCCGAATTATAGAAAACTTATTTGCAACGGTAGACGTACTGCAGATTTGATTTTTCTGTATAGCAAACAAAATAGTAACTCACACTTACCTCTACTCCTACCACTACAAGCAAAAGGAGAGTTCAACAAAACGTGCGCGTAGTGAAGCTACATTTACGTTCAGAAGCAAAACAAGGGGCCATCTCAGCATTTGCTCAATCAGGAAAACTGGACAAAACCGTGATATAAATGGAGGTCATTGTCCCGGAAGCTGAAGTACATTATTCGTCACAAGCATATTAATTTTTTTTTTTAATATACAATACAAAAGTAAACTAATTCCACATATCCCTGTGTTGTTAAAATAAATATTATTTTTCCTTTTGATGATCAGTATAGTCTCTAATTGTATAGAAACAGTTATGCAACAGAAAATATTTTACTTTTAACTTAAACTTGTTTACCGACTTCAATTGTTTAATGTCATCTGGCAATGCGTTGTAAAGTAACGTACATGTTTTGTATGTGGATTTCTGGTAGTGAGCTGTTGATACTGACAGTTGATGAACGCGATTTCCACGACGTGTTGTAATTATAAATATTAGTTTTGAAAATGTTCCCACCGTTAAGTAAGTCAGCTTTCACAAATATTACATATTCGTAAACAAATAGTCAAGCCAATGGTAAGATTTGAAGCTCAATGAAGAGAGGCTTGCAGGGATCACGCTGATGGCATTTTTTTCTATATTCGAATAATTTTCTTTTGAAATCTAAAGGTCTGGGTAGTACATGATGAGCTTCCCCAGAATATTACGCCATATCTCAGGCGGGAATGCACATTTGCAACATACACACAACAAGCTGCATGAAGGCTGACAGAATTTGAAAGAATTCTGAATGCGTAACATAATGAAATTAATTTAATGTTTAATTCTGTTGTATGTACATTCCATTTGAGGTTTGACTGAACTGAGAGACCTAGAAATTTTGATACCTTAACATCATGTAATTGGATATTGTTCCCGGGGTGTTGTATTCTCTGAGAATTTTGATAACTTAGTGACGTGTTATCTCGGTGACTGAGAAACGATTCAAGAATCGTGTCTGAAGCGAAGAGATGAACCGAAGAACGCGATGCAAATGCTGGCTGTCGGTTTCAACGAGTACACACACACTATAACTACACAGGAAAGCGTGGACGATGGTCGTGGCCAACTGTTATTAATTAAATCATAGGTGTATAATCCATAAAAGTACTTTTGTATGTTGAAAAGCAGATCATGAAAATTTTGTTAGGAGAATGAAAAGTGAGTTGTGGAATAAACGTGATATTTAAGAAAATAAAGGCGCATCTTTAATGAAAATTGGGTTCAAACTGTTCGTAAACATGTGCGTTCACTTGGAATATGCGCTTGTTGTTATACTTCGGTTTATATAGTGAAGCAAATGGAAGGTGACACATTGCATGAAGTCTGAAATTTCCGCGTTGTATTCTTTATAGACTATTTTAAGTTATGTTTACCAGTGTAACAAGATTCACATGGTATAATTTGAGGTTATTGGCGTATTTTCATATTTTCGATATTGAAAAAAAGAAAGTTCCCCCAAGAATATTTTATGGTCTTATTGGCTGTGCGTATCAATAGCTGATACTTTCTGCTCTTGTTTTGTTTTTTTGTGTGCGAGAAATAAATGACATGCAAGTACACGAGATGTCACCTGGAATACAGATCACAATACTACTACAGGTTTTTCAAGTGCCGATGGAGACAAATAAATTAATGTATAGTGTATTTGATTTTCAAATTGACAGTGTCCAGATATTAATTTCTTTATGACGTTTGCCGAAACTGGGAAAGAAATTGGCACAAGATATTAATGTGTAATGCCAAACCAGACCTGATAATGAAGCATGTTTGAAATTGTCATTCTTTTTTATAGTGTGCGAAGAAATGAATAAACCTCAAGTGATGGGCATGTCCAATAATTTGCATGACCCATCAAGCATGACGGAGGTAATTTATTCACTGTGAACATAAATTTGCTGGAAATATAATTTTTGTTTTTAATTTTTATCATTTTGGCAACTTCTATGCTACGGATTTCTGTCTGAAGGTTCTGGCGTTTGTTGAAGAATTGCGATCATCAAGTAATGGATGGCAAAGATGTGTAGAATCATTGATAAATGGAGAAATCCAAGATGATAGACTGAAATTTCTCGGGTTACAAACAATTGAATACTATTTGAAAAATAATTATGAAAAAGCTCCTCAGACTGAACAAGATATTGTACGCCAATTTTTATCTCGATGGATTCAGTTAAAGGTGAAGTGAAGGTCTTTAAATTAAATAATTAGTCTTAGAATGATTGTTTAATTTTAATTTTCTATATTGTGGGTAATTTACAGTGTGGTCAGTTGGAAGTATCAGATGCAGTATTTGTGAAGAACAAGGCAGCTCAAATATTTGCGTTGGCATTTGTTCATGATTTCCCTCATAGATGGCCTACCTTCTTTAGTGATCTTATTGAAACTTTGAGTTTGGGTCCAAAAGCTGTTGACCATTTTTTGCGTGTTTTGAGTGCCATTGATACTGAGGTATGTGCTTTTATTACATTTTACCCTTTTTTTGTTTGAATAATCAAGATTTAATTGTTTTACACATTGTGTACAATCTTTTCAACAAGCAGGAAACGAAGGAAAAGAGACTAACACATTTTAAAGTAGCTATTGTGTTCAATGTTGTGCTTTCAATTGGAGAGTTGTTGATAGGATCTTAAATACAAGTGTTAATACTATGAAAAAACAAAGAGAAATTATTGTTGCGAGTTTTGAAGTGCAAGTAAAATTGGTTATAGAACATCATTATAAAATCACACATTTGAAGGGAAACACTCCATTTAATAATTCCACAATTAAACATAGTAAACATTTTTTGTTTATTTAATGTAATGACATTGATGTTCAGTGTAGACTGCGATATTTCTTCTTATCAGTAGGTTTCTTGTTTTCAACTATTTTCTTAATATTTTTATATTGAATAGCATCATTGATTATTTCTATTACTGTAACTTGCTTCCCAGATGGTGGCTTCTTCATGAAATAATAAATTTTCTAAGAAATTCTGGAAGTTATACATTTTGTATGAGATCAGATATCTTCTCAGTTATATTTTTATATTTGCTTTCTCTCTTTCGTTACAAAAATATTAGTGTTCCTAAAATAATATCTAAAATGTTTACATCTTAATATTACTATTGCATGAAAAGGAAGTTATTGCATCATATTTTCTAAGAGTTTCTTTAAAAATAAATTTTCCTTCATTAATATATTACAAAATTCGATTCCTGTTCTTACAAATGAAGGGTAGGAGAAATATAAGGGACAAGACAAAAGTTTTATCATTTTCTGGAGAGCATTTTAAAGCATATGACGCCAAGTAACTACATTACAATTTTTATATTGTGTTTCTCTGTTGAAACTATTAGAAAAATCATTTATTATAAAAAACAAATTTATCCAGAGCATTTGGTCAATGTGTTTTTATTGAAAATGAGAAAAGATTTCCTTTTAATTGAAGAGCCCAATCACACGGACTTCCCCTTTATTTTGCCTGGTGTAAGGTGAAGTTAGTAGTTCATTAGTAAAGAAATTTATTGTCAAAATAATATTTTTACTATGTTTAATTGTGGAATTATTAAATGGAGTGTTTCCCTTCAAATGTGTGTTTTTATAATGATGTTCTATAACCAATTTTACATGCACTTCAAAACTTGCAACAATACTTTCTCTTTGTTTTTTCATAGTATTACTACTTGTATTTAAGATCCTAACATTGAGCTAAATTAACCTCAAATTAAATCTAAATTTTAAGTTGCATTAACCTTAAACCTTAACACTGTTTCTTTGTGTTGATGCTTGCATCTTATATGTTTGTAATTGCATCATACAAGGAATGTTTGCATTTATTTATGTATGTTTGGAATGTTGAAATGAGAAAAACATACAGTTCTTGTTATATTTTTGAAGATAATGTAATGTGTGCAGTAAAGATATAATCATTTCAAATGTCATCTAATTATAATTAGTAGTATTGACTTGAATTTTTAGTAAGTTGGTTGTGTAAAGTTCTTATTGTGATAAAAGTAAGCTTTTCTAAATAAGCCATTATTTTGAAAATGTGTGTTATTTTGTTTATTGGCTCATCTCGCTCATCTCATTTCCGAGTAAGAAGATTTTTCACATGTGTTGAGAGTTTGATCTTGATTGTTAATATCAATCTTTTATTATTACAATTCTTGATTTATCACTTTCTTTCAGTTTTCTCTGTTACACCCTTTGCCATATCCAATTTGTATACTATTCTTTTTGTATTTTTTTTTAGATTGCTGATAGAGAAATGCCATATACACAAATTCAAATACAAAGAAATACCATAATTAAGAATGCTATGCGAGAAACATGTGTTGAAAAGATAGTGTCTGCATTGTACGATATACTGGTGAGTCTAATTTACTTGTTTTGATCTTACTGATGTGTTACTTCAAGATTTTGAGTGATTTTGGATTTTTACCGAAAGTTACATTGGATAATATGAGTACTTGACATAGTACATGAGCAAGGAATGACACACTCAGACTCAACTTACTTTAGATTTTTTTAAATTTACTTCACATGATGCATGTGAAAGGAGTGACAAATAATATGATTAATCCTATATTAGATTTGTTTTAATCGAAGAATAAATTATATTTAAAGATGTTTTAATGGAACATTGACTCATTTTCAATGGTTTTTTAATCGTGAACTTTGGAAATTACATTGTTTCATATTCAGTGCTTACTACATGAGCTTGAATTCTCCAACTTGAAAATACTTACTGCAGTTTAATTGCAACATCATGTCTTTAAATGTTTGTTAATAATGCCTCATCTTGTATGTTTTCTACGGTGTTTCGATTAGGAGTTTTGCTTATATTGTAAAATTGCATAAAAAACAGAAATACGAAAGTATTGGGTTTTCAAGTATCCTCTGATGTTAACATCTTCATCTTTGGAATGGTCTGTATCACTCTTCACCCAAAAATGAAATGAAAAGAATTTTGAGTAGAGAAGCTTCTGGTTATTACTTGTGTAAATAACTTAATACATAAAAAGGAATGTATAATAATGAATAAATTTATAAAGTTATTATGGATTTTATGGTAATTTTTTCAGTTTGTTTTTACTATGTATTGATCAAGGCACTCTTGGTGGTCAAGGTTAAGGTTGTAATCTATTTATTGAATGGCTTTTAATATACATGGATGTAATTAATAATTTAAAATTTTTCTGTAAAAGTCTTTTTTTTTATATATATATTTTGTGAAATATCACATTGTGTAATTTCAATCCGGACACAAAATTGTGAAGTTCATATGGAATTTCAAATTACGTAATAAAAAAAGTGGAGATTAAACATCTAAACCATTAGCTTACTTGATTAATTTGCCCTTGAGCACTATAATTACCTAAAATGCAAACAGTTGTGAATGTTATTTCAATATTCATAAACAAGGATCCAATACAAAATTATAGACTAAACTTTTTGACAAAAAAAAATGTACTAAGTAAAGCATGGTTTCTGTACAGGACTAGACTGCAAAGAGAAATGTATTGGTATTTTCCTTAATTTAACCAAAGCTTTTGATGTAGTATATCATGGCATTCTATTAAAGAAACTGGAAAGATTTGGAATTCCACTACAATGGTTAGTGTCATACGTAAATAGCAGAATGCAATTTGTAGAAATAACTCAATTAAGCAAGGACTTATTCAAAAGTGTGTAGAACTGAAACAAATTAACATATGAGTGCTACAAATCTTCACCCTCTAATTTTTTTAAAATGTATAAATGATTTGGGAAAATCTATTATCATATCAACTCATCACAAAATAACACAATAGACTAATAATATAAACTTACTTATATGGAGTAAAACAGGAATGATTAAATTGCAATCTGGAAACCATGAAACCAAAACTATGTCCATGGTTTGTACAAAACAAAGTATTAATTAATAAGGAGAAAACAATTGTAATAAGTTTTCAAAGCAAACTAAAAAAAATTGGAACTTTGCAGAAGTACTAATAAGTAATGATAATGTAAAATTACTTGAATTCTATTTCTGGAAATATGATTAGAAGAAAATTTAAATTTGCAAACTTGTATAGATAATTTTTGCAGAAAATTGAATAAGATCTGTTTTTCTAATAGAGCCTTTAAACATAATGTGACTAAAGAAAGTCGTAAAATTATGTATTTTACTTAATTTCATTTCCTTGTAGCTTACAGAATTATATTTTGGGGCAACCCTATCCAAAAAACCTTCATTGTTAGGTGAAAGTTGTTTAGGATATTTTAGAACATTTCTCAATCTCTAAATATTCTACCACAACCTTGCTTACTTACCTTTCAGAAAAGTTCTATACAAACTAAACTCATACTTCAGAACTACAGGACAAATTCGATGATGCATAACAATTACTTAAGAAGTGAAAATTCACAACACCAAACTTTGAGCTAAGTTCTGACTATGTGAGACTCCATCTATATAATAAAATTCCTCACAATAATAATAATAATAATAATAATGGAAGATGCTTAAAATATGGGTCCACAATTTGTCTTTTTGTCACGTTTGTTTTTATTCTGTAAATGAGTATTGGTCAGCAGGAACTCTTCTTTGAAATTAAGATAGTATATTTGTATTACTATTTATATTATTTTGTATTAATTGTTTGTATTTTTTATACTCTTGTAAATATTTTATTATTCAGCATTTCGACTGTTACAATTTTTTCCTGCAAATGAAATTTGTTGTCCCAAATGAATTCTTTCATTAAGATCATGTACATTAAAAAAATGTAGTTTCGCACAACATTTGCAATTTAAAAATTACAAAAACAAGATTTTTTCAAAAAACAATTCTAATTTTTTTCTTTAAACTTTTGGTAGGGATACTGCTAAATGCATAAAATATGACATAAACGACATATTGCTTTGTTTTGTTGGAGTCATATTTACATGAGCGGAAATTTGTTCATATAATTGTATTTATGAATACATGTGCTTGAAATAATGTCACATAATTTTTCTCGAAATCTCGACACTTTTCTGTTACAATGATCTGAAAATTCCGCATTTTCAGAAACTCAAACGTCATTTTCTCAAAAATGGCTCCAATTTTTTTTCTGAAAACTTTCCCAATGGGTAGTGTTAATCTCACTGTTGACATATAAAGTTCATTGTGCTGTGTTCTGTTGTTTGTTTTTTTCCAAAAATTACATATGTATTTTCTTTAATCTCGCGTGTTAATATGCACATTACCAGCGATTTGTAAATACTATTGCATTTGTGCGTTGAAATACCTCAAATGACTTTAAATGAAGTTTTTCGAAAACTAAAAACATTTGAAAAGAGCAGCCTCAAATTTCGCATTTACAGTAACGCTTAAACGCCATTTTCTTAAAAACTACTCCAAATTTTACTCTTTTTTAATATTCTGAAAGCCATATTTCGGTTCTACTATTAGGAAACCTAAAAATTGAAAAATATATCAAAACATTTACTTTGGTCGGCGATAGGAGGCAGCTGCCGAGAGGATGGGCCAAGACCACTAAAGCCAGTCTACACCAAGGAAATTAGAAAACTTTACTACGGGAATGTCTGTGCCATTCTGTAGCACCACTAGTTTATTATAAATTCTCAATGTCATGGTAAAGTTTTGTTCTGTGAGAAGATTGGGAGAACTGACGAAATTTTCAAGGAATTCGAGACTGCAGATGCTATAGCTGTTATCAAAGACAAGCCTTGCTCTCGCTTTCTAGTTTTTCATTCCATATTTCATCATGTTCCTCGGCATAAATTGTTTGTCTTCATTTCAAGTTGAGATGGCTTCGTGTCGTGTTTAAAGACGATCCCATCATGCGTTTATTTTGTACAAAATTGGAGTTTATTTCAAAACGGCATTCGGGCGCCAAGTTTTGACTCAGGATTCGTGTTATCCCATTACTTGCTTGCCCTTGAAATATTCGTTGAAAATTTATTTTAAAAAACTGTTTTTTTCCCTGCAATAATTTGATGTCTTTTTTAATTAAAAAAAATCTTTTAGGGTGTTTGAAACCCGATGGTGTGTTCTTGCACCGTCTGTGTGAAGAGGGATCCCCGACTGTGAGCGGGCAAACTCTAGGTGATGGTTTTATCTGTGGCGCTTAAGGGCGGAAAATTAAGATTTAAAAAATAAATAAAAAAATGAATAACATTGTCCAAATGTTTAGTATTTTATTGTACTATTCAGTTATTTCAGATATGTTACGAAATACGCGGGAGACGCTTTCTATGCTGATCACATTTTTTCCACAAAAACATTGGTTTTCACACACAGTCGCACACCGAAGTCGCTGATGATTGATTACTAGTGATTCCGAACGCATCGACGGCTAAGGTCCTTATTCCCGTAAGTGTCGTGCTTGTTCTTGCTCGGGAATTGATCTTGCCCCGCTGGATGGCGAGATCCGACGCCGGCCTAATGTCGGCTAGTGGGTTTTTCCTCAAACAGGTATCTTCTAGCAGCGTGGCACCGTCCCATCCGGGACGAGCTTTAAGCTCTCGACCGGTCTTCCCGCATGTGTGGTTGTGTTGTGCATGTAAGTGTAAGGTGGTAGGATAGGTCAATCAATGAGATGGAAAGATCGCGCGGGGCCGGTGGTCCGTTTGTTAGGGTACTGCTCCGGCATTCACCTGCTATTGATCGTAGGAAACACGGAAAACTATCAATAAGAGCAGCTAGAATTATCCTTCAGACAGCGACAGAACTCGACCTAGCTTTCTGGCCTGTGTTGAGAACCCTGCCTTAGTCGCGCCGCGGGCGGGTGGTTATTTTAATGGCTTTTATAAACCCTAGTTTGTGGGTACGATCCCAGCTCTGGCGCGTTGATTTTCGAAGGGCGGAAATTCACACAGAGGCTGTCATGCTTGTGGCATGTAAAAGAAATTGGGCAGAATTAAATCCCTCTTTCCCATCCTAACGAGATCTCACGTTTTCCAACCAGAAAACGCGTATAAAGCTAGTTTACGAGGGACCGACATGTTTGCGAGAAAATGAGATTCACTTAGTCACATCCAGGTGTTTAAGGGACGCCCGTGTGTTCGAAGGAAGTCCGCTAGTTTCGCCCTCTGGTGTAGGTTTCGAAGGAAGGCTGGGTCGAATACGTGCGTGCGATGGTCAATGGGTCAATGGCCGTACCCACACAAAATAACCCATAAATAACCTCAACGTCTCTAAACATTTTCTTCTTACATGCTAGTTGGTCAACCTATGATGGAACAATGCCTGAAGTGACCTCGTCTTTTTGATTCATTAACAATTGCCCATGGAGTTCTGCAGGGTTCGATTTTAGGCCCTATTTTCTTCCTACTGTACGTACACGATTCTTAGACGGTTCAAAACGGAAAGCAGTCCTTTTTTGCAAATTAGAATATTCTTTATAATTAAGACATTAAATATTGCGATATCAGATATTTTAAAAATAACCAATTAAAAGTAAAGAAATCTGTTTCAATGCAGTTTTTCCATTTTAAATAATTGTATACTTCATTGACAATATACAGTGTGAAAAATGACTGATGTTGAGATAACTAAATTTTTGGGTCTCTTAATTCAGTCAAACTGCTCGTCTGTAATTTGAGTGTGTTCATTCCTGTCTGAGATATGGCATATTACTCTGGGGAACACGCACGTTTTATAACTCCTAGACTGCAATCAGCACTTGTCATGTTTTGCTCGTCAATGGTGTGCTGACAAAAATTTGATCTTAAACCGTAGCAAATGCAAATTTATTACATTTCCACAATCTGAATCGATACATCCTTCTCCTATAAGAATGTTTGCTTTAGTTTCTTGTTCTTCTTTCTTGTTCTTCTTCCTTGTTCTTCCTTCTTCTTTCTTTCTTTCTTCTTTCTTTCTTTCTTTCTTCCTTCTTTCTTTCTTTCTTTCTTCTTTCTTTCTTTCTTCTTCTTCTTTCTTCTTCTTTCTTTCTTTCTTTCTTTCTTCTTCTTTCTTTCTTCTTCTTTCTTCTTCTTTCTTTCTTCTTCTTTCTTTCTTCTTCTTCTTTCTTTCTTCTTCTTTCTTCTTCTTTCTTCTTCTTTCTTTCTTCTTCTTCTTTCTTTCTTCTTCTTTCTTTCTTCTCCTTTCTTTCTTCTCCTTTCTTTCTTCTCCTTTCTTTCTTCTCCTTTCTTTCTTCTTCTCCTTTCTTTCTTCTTCTCCTTTCTTTCTTCTTCTCCTTTCTTTCTTCCTTCTTCTTTTTCTTCTTCTTTCTTTCTTCTTCTTTCTTTCTTTCTTCTTCTTTCTTTCTTTCTTCTTCTTTCTTTCTTTCTTCTATCTTTCTTCTTCTTCTTTCTTTCTTCTTCTATCTTCTTCTTTCTTTCTTTCTTCTTTCTTTCTTCTTTCTTTCTTCTTTCTTTCTTTCTTCTTTCTTCTTTCTTTCTTCTTTCTTTCTTCCTTCTTTCTTCTTCTTTCTTCTTTCTTTCTTACTTCTTCCTTCCTTCCTTCTTTCTTCTTCTTCTTTCTTTCTTCTTCTTTCTTCTTTCTTTCTTCTTCTTTCTTCTTCTTCTTTCTTCTTCTTCTTCTTCTTTCTTCTTCTTCTTTCTTCTTCTTCTTCTTTCTTTCTTCTTCTTCTTTCTTTCTTCTTCTTCTTCTTTCTTTCTTCTTCTTCTTCTTCTTCTTTCTTTCTTCTTCTTCTTTCTTTCTTCTTTCTTTCTTCTTCTTCTTCTTTCTTTCTTCTTTCTTTCTTCTTCTTCTTCTTTCTTTCTTCTTCTTTCTTTCTTCTTCTTCTTCTTCTTCTTCTTCTTTCTTTCTTCTTCTTCTTCTTTCTTTCTTCTTCTTTCTTTCTTCTTCTTCTTCTTCTTTCTTTCTTCTTCTTCTTCTTTCTTTCTTCTTCTTCTTCTTCTTTCTTTCTTCTTCTTCTTCTTTCTTTCTTTCTTCTTCTTCTTTCTTTCTTCTTCTTTCTTTCTTTCTTCTTCTTCTTTCTTTCTTTCTTTCTTCTTTCTTTCTTCTTCTTCTTTCTTTCTTTCTTTCTTCTTCTTTCTTTCTTCTTCTTCTTTCTTTCTTTCTTTCTTCTTCTTTCTTTCTTCTTCTTTCTTTCTTTCTTTCTTCCTTCTTCTTTCTTTCTTTCTTCTTCTTTCTTTCTTTCTTTCTTTCTTCTTCATCGTTCTTCTTCATCGTTCTTCTTCTTCCTTCTTCATCGTTCTTCCTCTTTCTTTCAGAAAATTGAAATTTCAAGCTGCTAGTACAATGAAGGAAGGTTGGATTTCAACTTGATCTTTTTAGGTACAAACATGTCAATAATATCATACAAGTGATAGTATTGTCATTGAAGTTAAATCTGAACAATTTTGGTGTACAAATAAAGTTTGCACAATGTTGCATGAAACATTGCACATTAGTGCTATATTTCATGTTAAAGAGCACAATAAAAACACGCTTTAATGACTCAACAGCTACAGCAACAGCAACATCGCTCCCGCTCAGTCTCGCCCATGGCGAAAATGTCTCTACTAACATAAATTTAAAGTTGAAAAGTGAACTTAAATTGTAAAAACCTTTTAAATTTTGTAAGAACGAATGTGTGTTTCAGCCCTCTCCTTATATATCAATTATAGATGATGTAATCCTTGCAATGGTGTCTTAATTTTTTGTATGTGCTCTTTAAGGTGTTTTCTTTTCAGAATACCTATGAAATGAGTCACCCCCAACTGGCAAGCCATTGTCTTGAAGCATTAGCAAATTATATTCATTGGATTGATATTGGTTTGGTAGCTAATGAGCATTTCGTTGGTACCTTGCTAAGACTCTTAAACCTGGTACCTGTTCGTGAATCTGTTATTGTGTGCATGCAAAGTATTGTGCATAAGGGAATGGACCCATTAGAGAAGTTCACACTTGTGGAGTCCCTCATTTGTGTTCTGAACAATGTTGGAGTATTTGTTCGCTCTGCAGTGAGTACAATATTTAAACAATTCCTTTCATTTATTTTTTTGTTCCTTTTTGTGTTTGCTAATATAATTTGAAATGTTTCAGGATGATGACAGTGAATTTTGTACTAAGCTCTCTCATTTGGTAAATAGTATTGGTTTGGCTCTTTTGGACTCTTTCAACAAGTATGAGTATTGCTGTCATTGGTAGTGTTATTGCAGAGAGTGTCATGTATTTATTTTGTCTGTCTTGTTTCAGAACACAAAAAAGTGGACCAGCTGATAAAGTTCCTTTTATAGAACAGGCTATAGATGCAAAGGTTCCTATTATGGTAACTTTTCTTGGAAATGATTATGATGATGTTTCATCTGCTGTGTTGGAATTTGCCAAAGATTATGTGCATGTTAGTATAAAAAGATAATTTTGCCTTTATCCCTTTTAAGTGTATTGAATGTTTCTACTCAAGACAATAAGTTAGGTTGACTAAGATTGTTAACATTGAGGAAGCCACTATAAAGGTACCTCCATGCATTTTTAGATTTGGTAAGCAGGAAGTGTCTGCTTGCAAAATTCAAAGTAGTATGGATAGGTTGTTAACATTTTGTGGAGCATCGAACATAATTTGGAGCTCCCCAACCACAGAATGTCTGTCCTTTGGACACACATAACATAACATTACATATCAATTGGAACATACCCTAAGGACCTGTACTTATCTAGATTAACCAAATAGTTGCTGTGAAGTGAATGTTCTCGACTCTTCTTTCCTCTTGTATAATCTTGGATGTTGAAAAAATCCTTTGCCATATCATGCCTCTCCTTTGTTTAGTTCCTGAAAGGAAGGCCATCTCTTAACGAACAGCAAGTTAAAAATACACAACAGCTTATGGTCACAGTGATACACAAAATGAAATATGATGAATCATACAAATTTGATCACGATGGAGAGGATGAAGCAGAATTTCAGGACTTCAGGTATTGTACTTATTATTTGGTTTCATTAGAAAGGACATATAAAGGACATGTACCTTATTAATTTACTTCATTTATTAATTTGCTGATATGTTTATTCAGTCTTTGGGGTAGTTTGTTAGCTGTGACATTTAAATGTGCATGAGAATTGGAATGTTTTGTAATATTCTAATTAATACACATTTGCTAATTTTAAATGCATTGACTTTTTTAGTTTTAGGTGTATAATTTAAAATTCCTAGATAACTTGATGAATTCTTCAAAAATAATTTCTCTTGCTTTAAATTTTTTGAGATCCATTTCTCTCTCTCATTAAAACAAAAATTCCAACAAAAATTGACGGTATTTGAGACTCCTAAAGAAGAGAAAAAGTGGTCCTTGAAATGCTGAGATGTAAAACAGTAAAAATTATTAGAACATTTTAATAAAATTCTTTAATCTAAATTATGGTTTCTGATGAACATGTTTATGGACACATAAGCTTCTGCGACTGGAGCACGACTTCTTCGCTGCCCGAGTGATGCCGTGTAGTCGGCTTCTCAGCCAATGAAGCAGCATCACCCAACAGCCAAGAAGTAAAGTGTTTGTGGTTTTAATGTGTTAAATAAAAATCGCTGTCTTAAATAATTCTGGACCAAAAATAAAAAATGCAATTTATAACTGACGACAGACTCTTTTTTCCTTTTTGATTTTCATCTACAATATTTTTTGATAGTTCTAATATGGTGCAATGTAATGATTGTCAATTATTCATATCTTGAAAGGACAACAGTCACATCCTACTTGTTGTACAGGGATGTATTGATTTATTAGCAACCACAGAGCCAATGATGGGTGTCTTAGCTCAGCCACCCATTTTTGTCAGTTTTCTTACATTTTAATTAATTAAATTAATTAATTATAACATGAAGTAACACAATTTTTGTTTAGTTTTACTCTAAATCACTTTTATGCCTTAGCCCCCAAATATAGTCATGCATCATACTCTCATTATAGTCCCTGGTTGCAGTGTTCAATGCCTCATATCCAGGTGGAAGTGCTTTCCTTATTCCTCTGAATAAGCTCCCATGTTCTCCTTGAATGTATCAAGTTGATCATCAAGCTTATGGACTTTTTGTGACATTCTCCAGCTGTTTGGCACTGTAGTTCTTCAAAAAGTTCTGGACCAATTGCTCAGTTTTAAGCCTTGTTATTCCACAGAAATCTCTAAACAACTGTAATAATGCTGGTACAAGCAGCTTTCCCGTCCTCATCAAGCATCTTTTGAAATTTGTTGCATTGAAGGATCTTTTTTATTTGTGGTCCCACAAAAACACCTGCTTTGACTTTTGCCTTGGGCAAATTAGAGAAGAAGGTTCCAATATATTTGAAAGCTACTGAATTTATATCTAGGGCTCCTACAAATTGCTTCATAAGCCCCCAACTTTATATGTGGTGAAGGTATAAGCACCTAATTGCATACAATCAGTTGCACAACTTCACATTGTGATCCCACAGAGGACTCAGTCTTCAGAGGCCAAAAGTTACTTTTTGAAATGCCCATTGGTGTCTCCGCTATCCCAAATACAAAGGTAGCAGGGTAACTTGGAGACCCACCAGCTGGAAGACTCCAAAAACTTCAAATCCATTCTCATCATCAAGATTTCTTACAAGATCATGTTATTGCTGTAATTCTCTTTGAGATGCCCTGAATGAGCTCTAGAGAGGTGGATAGTTGTTCCCATTATGTTGTAGCACGCTTTTGAGACTCTTTGATGAACTGATCATACCATTCAGTTGGGTTTAAAATGATTTCAATGTCATCCAACAAACAGCTAATATTGTGGCTAAAACAGATACCATTTTGATAGGAAAAAAAGTGGAGAAAATTTGATGTCATGTGAGCTGTGATTTCACCCTTGCATCCAACAAGTCTCTTTGTTATCAAAAGTTCAGCATTTGACTTGGTCAGGCCAATATATCTGACCAAATCATTTTGGTTAGAGTACTATGAATTCCTCTCCACTATAATTTCCGGATCGGCAGCATTCACATCTAAGTGTCCACTCTTTTCTGAATCAGAACTTTGCTGTTTCCTCTGACAAAATGGGCACGGGGAGGTCTCGACCATGTGGTACTGGGGCAATGAATGAAGATCTAGATAAATTATACCAGGAGCATTCTTGCCGGTTCTACATTTTGAAGGGTTCACAGTACAGAAGTAACAATTGCTTGAAAGATCAGTGGGCTCCCTTCAGATCCTTGGTATACCAAACTTCATATGCTTCATTTCCCTTATATACTATCCTGCAGGATAACAGAATATAAAGTTAAATGTGGAATTTAGTGTGTTTATTTCAGCCTATATTTTTTTAACGAAACACTTCCTTGCCTTTCCAATGTTTGTTTTCAGTTTTTTCAGGCAACATAAGGTACTCAGGGTTTGTCTTGATCCCCCACAGACATGCCAAAATATGCTTTGTATGCCTTGCTCATTTGTGAAGTCATGCGGAGTCCTTTTTTGCTTGTTTCTTCATATATTTTCTGCAGATGAAACAAAAAGCATCTACTGCATTCATACTTCATGATGGCATCACTAGAACATCCATTATCATCTCTCCACTTTTTAAACTGAATATACAAGAAACTAAACCCCTTTATAGCAGTATGTTTACTATAAGAAGCAGTCACGTATGCAAAATTGAAAAGAAAAAGTCAAATTAGATATAAATCGAAGTTGACATCAGAACACTAAAGTTTATGCAACATACTAGGTATTTTCCGTACGTTTGGTGCATAAACAATCAAGAAATGGCAAATTTAACAAGGACAAACAAAAAGCTAATATTTGATTTTGTTTACGTCTTTTTTTAAATTATCTCAATTCCATTCCAAATACTACAGCTTATACTTTCCAGCATTACTTCTAAATTTGCAATTTTTGAAAATCATAGTGTTAAACGAAAAATAGATTTACGCCGTTCTTTTAAGTGCCTTTTATTTTATCCTTGGTTAAATTTAAGAAAAAAATTGCAGCAGTCTGTGTGAAAATGTTTTTTTTATGTCATTAATTTCAAGCGCAATGAAAACTAATAAGGTTTTCCAAAACATTTTTTTAATGAGCTGATTTTTTGGACCTGATTTAATTTAAGCCAGAAATCTGTTTTTGAATTTTTTTTTACTTTTGAACAATCAATTGACTTTGATAATAATGATATGATAGACTGAACTCTCGGTTATAGTGAACTTGGTCCCATTTCACTTACTTTTCAAATAAGCACAAGAAGATTTGGTTATAGTTATTTGAAGTTTGGTTATATAGTTATTATAAAAAAAAGTCTCCTGTGTGGTGGAAGTTCCAGACACGGAATGGAGACCTTTCTGACGACCTGATTTTTTTAGAAATTGCACAAGTTCCAAGCACAAATTTTGCAAAAACTGCTTGTTATATCAAAAAATTGGACTTGTTATTTTTTAGAACTTGTTTTGTTTTTAGGCAAACATTTGTATTGTTAAATTTGTTGTTTTAAAATGTTAAATTTTTGCAATTCTCGAAAATACAGGGTGTTTGCCAGAAATGAGACTACCACTAATTTTTTACCATTCATTTAATGCATACAACCAGCGACAGAGGGGGACTAGAGACCAAATAGCAATTCATAGATAGATAATGGAAGAGAGAAGTGAATTTCAAAGGAACCTGTATTTATGTCTTTTGGACTATTATAAAGCTTTTGACTGTGTGGGCCATAAATCTGTTATGGATTACCTTAACAAACGTGGGCAGATAAGGAAGGAAAAGTTTAAACATAATGAAGTACTGAATGGTTTAAAGTCAATAAGGATGTCATACAAGGATGTATCCTCTCTCCAAGTCTATTTAACTTATACACTGAAAATATTATGAGGAAACCCAAAAGCAAGAAGACGGAAAATGAGATGGCATGAGGAAACCCAAAAGCAAGAAGACGGAAAATGAGATGGCATGAGGAAATCAAAAAAGGTAGCAACCTGACATGAACAGAAGCAATGAATATGGTGCAAGACAGAGTAGGATGGAGAAAACTTTTAAAGGCGGGGTCGGCAAATTGATTGAGAAATTTGGAAGGAGAAGCTAGCAACCAACTGTTGTGAATATCCCCCCAGGTTCACCAAGGATCGTATGCAATATTTATTACTACTCTCTTACTTGATGTATTCAAAGACAAAATATCTAAAACATCTAAAATTTATGGCTCTCCTCTCGTGGAACCTCGAGGGCTTTTGCACTCGTTTAGACTAATTGAAGCTGATAATGTCTGTATAGACACGTTATCTGCCTGCAGGAAACGCATCTTCCTGAGCATTCCCTCTCTCTTCAAGGCTTTTGTGGCTGCAGGCAAGACATTGATGATGGTTTCCAGGCACATGGTGGAGTCATTACATATTTCACAGACTCCATGGTGTCCAAAGAAATAGATGTACAAACCACTCTTCAGACATCTTGCATTCGTATGAACATCTGCACTTTATCAATAACTATTTCTAACGTCTATATCCCGCCTGGTCAAGTGTCACAAGAGGAACTTAAAGATATATCTCAGTTGCCCGCCCCTCAATTATTGCGGGGGACTTTAATGCCCACAATCCCGCTTGGGGTGTGTGGTATGTAAAATTGAAAAGAAAATTCAAATTAGATATAAATCAAAGTTTAACTACATAACACTACAGTTTATGCAACATAATAGGTATTTTCCATACTTTTGGTGCATAAACAATCAAGAAATGGCAAATTTAACAAGGGCCTGCCCGAGAAGCAATATATTTGAAAATATTATTGACAAGCAGGACATAATTCTTCTTAATAGTAGCGAAAGCACACATTTTGCATAACTTCAAACACTTCTTCGTCCGTTGATCTGTTTCTCTGCAGTCCATCTCTACCATCTTTGAGTGGACTGTCCTTGGCGATGTGCATGGCAGTGACCACTTCCCCATCCTGGTCATTTTCGACCTAAACATTACCCTTCCTCACTGGCTAACCCACTGAGCTGGGTAGGAAACATTCAAAAAAGAAATACGGGTATCAGAAAATTGCCCAAACGATATCAATGCTATGATTGCCCATTTTACTGATGCTGTTCTTCATGCGTTCTCAATTACCATCCCGAAGTCGTCGGGTCACTCACAACATCCTTCCGTGCCATAGTGGAATGTCCTCGGTACGTGATCGGAAGCGGGCACTGGCAAAGCTTAGTAGGTTTCCAACCATGGATAATCGGATAAATTATAAAACATCCCGAGTAAGAGCTAGATTGTCCATACGGGAAAGTAAGGCCGCGTCCGGGAGAGTTTATATTTCATCACTCTCTGTCTGTACGCTGCCTAAAGTAGTGTGGTGAAAGGTTCGACAGTTCAGTGGAAGACTTCTATCGGCGTCTGTCTCAGTGCTTCTGGTAAATGGTAATCTTCTCACCTCATCGGAAGATGTAGTTGACGAATTGGCTTTGCACTAAGAGCATATCTCCACCTCCAAACACTACTCTCTTCCCTTTCTGAACACCAAAAGAAGAATGGAAAACTACAGATAATATTTCTCGGGTTGCGTGAAACTACAATACTCCTTTTCCCATGGATGAATTTTCGTGTGTCCTCACTTGTGTCAAAGATTCTGCTCTAGGACCATATCAGATACATAATCAAATGCTTAAACACCTACCGGAAAATGCTCATTCTTTTCTCCTTCGCATTTTCCAACTGATTTGGGATGAAATTTCCTTACCAAGGATTTGGCATGAAACCATTGGTATTCCAATCCCTAAAGAAGGAAAGGTACAATCCCTTCGTTACAGTCCAATCTCGCTCACAACCTGTGTGTACAAACTTTTAGAGTGAATGGTAAACAAACATCTGGTCTGGCTCATGGAGCAAATTAATCTATTAACTCCTTTTCAGAAGTTACAGCTTGTCCTCAGCAAAGTGCAAGACTGGAGTGATTAAACTGGATTCAAGTTCTCCACCTCAAAATTCAGTTGCATGAACTTCTGTAGAATATATAACCTCCATAATCATCCTGATCTTTTTTGGGGGTATCATTAACTTCCTTTTGTCGAATCTGCTTCTTTCCTTGGCCTGACATTCAACAAGAGCTTAACATGGCGAAAGCACATTCAGAACTTGATGAGCCGCTGTATATCACCATAGAACCTCCTTTGCATCCTTATTGGGCAGACCAAGGTGCAGTGCATGGGGTGCAGACCAAGTATGTCTTTTGCACCTCTGTCCTATCTTAGATTATGGGTCAGCGTCTCCATCGACCCTCCGGTCATTGAATACCATACACAATGCCAGAATGCGGATCAGCACAGGCGCTTACTGCACAAGTTGCATTGAATGTCACTTGGCCGAGAGTCAAAGTCCCTGAGTCAAAGGCGAGATATTGTAATCGGCTCTTCATTGTCAATCATAGAGTGTGTCATTTGTCATTACTACTCTGTTTATGTTGTATTTGTAAATCTTGTTAAAGAATTACTGTACTTCAAAATAAGGTAGTCTCATCAGATATTTGGAGATCACTCTTTTACATTTTTTTAAATCTTTAATTGAGGGATCAGAATTCATATCTATGTCCTAGGCTCTTTACCTTTTGTATTTTTCATTCCTTCATTATTACAATATTAAGTCTCCTTGAAATTGCTTAATTGAAGCATTATTGTTTATGTTAAATTTATTGTCCTGCATCATTCAGTGGTCATCCCTCATTCTTAATAATATACACGTTTTATTACGGTCATTATATTGGTTATTAAATGGTCATGAAAAATGTGATTTGTGTTGCTTTTTTCTCATGCTGGTTATGAAGTCATAATTTTATTTTTCTTGTAGGTATAAAGGCATTTACTAGTACTATTGAATCCTGGGTTTGTGGAAAAGAAAAGTAGTTAAATTGCTTATTGTGGTGCTCAATATTTAATATTTCAGTTTATTTTCAATAAAGATTCTTAGAACACGATGTGTGCTTGGAGTCTAAAGTGTTTTGATAGGTAATGTTTTCCTGCAAGTTGTATTGTGTCCAACAGGAGTTTTATGTCCCAAAATTAACATTTACTTTGAATGTTGACTTAATATATTGATCATTAAATTGGAATAACTACTTGATTGGCTACTATTTTCTTAATGCTGGCGGAAGATATTTTAGAATTGATTAAGAGGAATGTCAACTTTGTCATTGCATATATAGGGGAAAAATCTCTTGAATCTTTGAGATGTATTAATGGATCTTATTATCATAAATTTATTCATTAAACCTTCATAAAATGCCTTGTGTTGAAGGAGAAAATCATGAAATGGGTATATTAAATGAGTTTAAAGTGTGCAAATAGGAAGAATTTCTGAATTAGTTAATGTGATATTTAATTTTCAGGAAAAATTTGAAAGTGGTGTTTGATAATCTGGTTGGCTTAAATAAAGACTTAGTATTTAATTACATAATGGAATTGGCTACACGTGCAATAGGAGAATGGCGAACTTCCCCATTTGCTGATGTTGAAGTTAGTTTAGCAGTTGTCTATTATGTTGGAGAAGTTCTTCCTACACATGCTGGACAGTATGCTCCAAACGATCATGTAAGTGCTCATATATTGTATTATGATCACGTAAGTGCTCAGATATCATATGCTTATACACCTTGCGATGCACAAGTACAGATCAGTTACAGGTAATTGGTAATTGCTAATTGCAGTAAGACTTGTAGGTGGAGTTTGAACTAGATACCTGGGCATTCGAGTGTTCGAATGCAAGCCATTGCTTGCATTTTATTGGTCTTGTGCAAACTCGGTTATCTTGTGCAAACTCTGCACAATTATGCGTGAAACTTGTTTGCAAAAATGTTTAGTTCTTTAATAGAGATTTGTATTTATAAAAACATTGTTTGCATTGACAAAAAAATATAAGATTCAAAAAAATTATAGTAAAATGTAATTGGAAATATCATTTGCAATGTTCTTATTTTTGAATGTAAATTCTGGTGAAGAGTTTCACATAAACTATTTTTGAATTGGTCACATTGAGGGTATTTGTATTGTACAAAAAAAGTAATTCAACTATGAATAGAGTACGTGAGTATTCCCTAAGAATTGTTTACTCTTGAAGTTCAAGAACAAAAAACTTTAAACATAACAATTTATTTATTTTATTGGCAACATTGAACAGGATTTATCCTTTTTATTCTATATTGTAGCAGTTCTTTGCTTTCTTGTTTCTTGCACTTACTTGCAATACTTGTCTAGCTGTGCCCTGCTTTAACTTGTCACACCACCACTCTACTTTACTTACCCATTTTCGAAGTAATCTGATGTAAACATTTAATGCCTGTTGTTTTTTCTTGTAGATGGAAGTAACTTTAATGGTTGGTTAAGGAATTTTTATTAGTTATTTCACTTATTCATTTTGCCAAATTTAAGCTCTTCTATGTAATACTAGTTGCTTTTGTTGTACCTTAAATTACATTTCTCCCCCTTCCCCCTACTCTCTTTCTGTCTTTCTCTCTTGATACCTAGTGGTTGGACTTCAAATAAATTAGTTCAGTTACTTGAATAATGAGAATGTTATGTCAACATTCCCCATTATATAAATTGCTATAAGAATTTTTCTCACTTTTAAGCCACTTTTTAACCAGCAACAAAAATTAAATTCAAAATTATTGCTAATTTCCTTTTAGTCAGTTTGTTAAAAAATATTACTCTGGGTCATCGATATATGAATGTAAAGTTTTCTCAGGAAAACTAAGCATTTTCAGATTTGTGGTTTTAGAAAATCAAAATTACGGAACAGGAATTTTTTTCATTTTTTAAAGATATTTTTCGTCAACTGATCAATATGGAGCACCTATTGGAATATTTTTTGATCTTTTGAAAGCTTTTGACATCATTGACAATAACATTTTGTTATCGAATTTAACTTGGTATGGAATTCATGGTGTTGCTCTAGATTGCTGGTGTTGCTAACCGAATTTGTTTACTATGCTCCATGAAGTCACGGAGGTGAAGCAAATCCGAGGCTTGCGGGCTCCAGGTTGAGTGACCGGCTGGGAACCCAGGGAGCTAACGGCATTGAGACCTTGGCCAAAAGGATAAAAGGCACTGACTGACTGTGACGGGAACAGACTAGACAAAGAAAGTAATGTCCACGACAAGCACTCAACAGTGGTTTAAGAGACATGTTGTGTCAACGATGATGCAATAATTTTTTTAAAAAAATTGGTATCTTCTTACTGTAACATTGCAAAGAGTAGAAATACTGTACTGGTGAAGAAAAGAATTACTCATCTTCACCATTCTCTACCAATTGAGTTTGGGGTCCTAGGGGTATTTGTACGTAAACAATATGCCCGAATCATTCAAACTGAAAAAACGTTGTTTGCTAATGATGTAAATGTTTTTTGCAAAAAACAAACAATTAATAGTACGATTTCAGAAGTTTCAAATTGGTTTTGTAATAACAAATTAATAGTTAACAAAGGAAAAACTGTTTCAATGTAGTTTTGCTTTTTAAACAATGGCATGCACAATTGAAAATTGACAATATGCAATTGGCTGTTGCAAAGGTAGAAACTTTTCTGGGTCTCTCAATTCAGTCACACCTAAAATGGAACATCCATATAAATGAATTGGACACTAAATTAAGTTCCGTATGTTATGCATTCAGAATGCTTCAAATTTAGTCAACTTGTGTGTATTTTGCAAATGTGCATTCCTGCCTGAGATATGGCATAATATTCTGGAGAAGCTCATCTTGTTGTACCCAGACTTAGATTGTAGAAAAACATTGTACTAATAATAAGTTAATGTTATCCATATGATTCCTGCAAGCCTCTGCATTGCGCTGGAATTTTATCCTTGTTATCTTGCCTTACCTATTTATTTATGAATGTGTAGTTTTTGTCAAAATTGACTTACGTAGGTACTAAAAAGGTGGTAACATATTATCTCGCAATACTGGTATTAATAATTACAACACATATCCTAGAAAAGACATTTCATTTGGCGTCGGTATTAACAGTTCAGGACAAGAAATCCACATTTAATACATTACATTACTTTACAACACATTGTCAGATGATTAAAACTGCTACACTAGCTTATGTGCTAAGCAAAATCTTTTCTCCTGTATAACAATAAATTAGACTATTCCAAGCATCAAAAAGAAAAGTAATATTGATATTAACAGTAATATTTAATCTATTAGTTACAATTTGGACTGTATAGCTCTAAAAACTAAATATGTTTGTGGCAAGTATTGTACCTTAGATTCTGGGTCAATGGCCCTCCTCTTCATCTGGTTTTCTTTGTTTTCCTGATCCATTGAGCAAATGGGGTGAGATGGCCATTTGTTTTGCTTGTTGACATAACATAGCTTCACTATGTGCATGTTTTATGGAGCTCTCCTTTTACGTTCTCGCTTTACTTCCTAAAAAGAGAAAGTATTGTAATTGTGTGTCCGAAAACTGCGGTTTTTCAACAGGAAACATATTGTGTGGTCCTAGTAACAAATAATCAGATGAATCTAGTACCTTTGTTTAGTAAGTTACCTCCTGTATCACGTGTAGTTCAAATCCTTGTTTTTTGGGTTGTGGATACCTATAAATCGATCAACTGCAAAACGTCCTTCTTGGTCAGTGCTAACGCCTAAACTGTTCACAAAACTTCTCCAAAATTGATATTCCCCAATCGATCTGAATTAACTTTAGGCCCTGCGAGTTCAAATTAAATATTTGAATTTTGGAGGGGTGCATTATAAGAAGCCTAAACATTTTCAAAACTGTTTCAAACATGACTTCTGTTTTTTAAATTTTATTTTTTTAATTGAATTTTGTCTTCGGTTAGCTTAAGGACCTTTTAAAAACTTATTTTCTTATTTTCGTTGAAATACCTGATTTTTTTCTAAAATTGCAAATGTTTTTCTTGCGTCTTCCTGCAACTAAAATACGGAAAATAGATTTTTTTTCTTAATAAAATATGTTGAAAGACATCGTAAAATAGGGTCATGTACAATTTTTTGAAAACACGAGTAGTTTTAGCGTAATTTTGTGTGAAATACAAACAACTTTTAAATACTTATTCTCAAAAACATTTGAAGTGATGTACTACCGCGAGCAGCGTAACAGGCCGCATCTCCAATATGGTGGCGTTGACGGCAAACTGCCAGTACCGCCATATTCTGAACTCAAATGTTTCAACCTGACCCGCGATATTGAAAGGGACGGATATTCTGAATGAATTCCACTGCGAAATCGATACACAATTGTATTTTTCCCACTCTTTTCTTCATTTTGTTCGGTTTGGAGCACAGGGAATAATATATTTTTCTTTGTAAGTGATCAATTTGAAACAAATTATATATATTTAATACATAAGTATAATCATTATTTTCTAGGAAAAATAATTTGTAAATCCTTGATATATTATGAATAGTTGGAAAATTTTGTTTGACATTTATTAGTTTTTGATTTTACATTTATTAGATTAATGTTTCTTAAAACTGAGTGTTTTCCTCTTCAGGTACTGTCAATGTTTTTTTTAAAATGCCCAGAGTGTGCAAAATGAAGCAAATTTTAATATTAGTAACCAATCCAAATATTAAGAAAAGTATCAACATAAATACATACTACTACAAAAATTTTAAAATTTATCAAAAATCAAAATTTGAATTTAAAAGTGACAGTTCGTAAGCATTTTAAGATTAATTTAAGTATTGGAGGATCTTGATTGGAAAATAATATAGTTTTGAATAACAGTCAACTGTAACTTACCCGTAAGAATCAACTGTATCAAATAATTTTTCATTGTAAAGTGAATTCTCTCAATAGGTCTTCCCACAATAGGTCTATGAAAAATTATTATTTTTAATATAAAAATATATTTCATATAAAAATAATTATTTATGTAACACATTCATATGGCTAAAATAATTAAATTTATTGCATATAAAATGATTTATCAAAAAAGGAAAATCTTCTATAACTGAAAAAATTGAATAATTTCTTTCAATTCTGAGACAGCAGAAAATGAATAAGAATGGCAATTCACTACTTTTATTCGATTTATTCAGACAATAATAATTATGTACTTTACTATAGTGACGATTGTAATAAGAAACAGTTTCAATTGATTAAGATATGCTGTATTTAATAAATTGAACCAGGAAGAACTGATGGAGATAGTGAAGACCAGGATAATAAATTATCATCATGATGACAGTAACAGTGTCATACTGAATCACTGAGTTAAGATGTGCGAGAAGGTTATGTCTTAATATTACTTCTCTTTCCTGGCCATGTAATCACACCAAGAAAAAAATAATGATTACAAAAAGCAATGTCTGAAATGTACAAAATCATTAAGGTATAAATTCAAACAATCGACGTGTGACCCTAGGTATGAAAATTGATTAAATTAAATTACAATGTCTAATAACCAAATATGTGTTAAAAAAATTGAATGTATTAAAGCTGAATCCCTATTGGGGTCAATCCATTTTTTTTTTTTAAATAATCTTCCTCGTCATTATCTCTTAGGTCAATTAATACTTCTGCTACTTCAGTAAAATTTTAAATTTCTTTAATCCAACAATCCAAAATTATTTGCTTCATAATGAGCAACATACTGATTCTACTTCTTGAGTATCTCCTAAAAAAATGAACATGAATGTTTTGCTACGAACTTTGAAGGTAATCTTGTGATGTTGTAAATTTGTGGTGTCAGTTAATGGACTTGACAATAGCTACTTATAAAATTTGCACAAAATACTAGTACCTATTTAACAGTACTACCTTAATAAAAAATGAACAAATAATTGCATGTGGCGATGTGTTACGGTTAGTGACTCAGACTGTTTAAGCCAAGTTGGTGGGTTCAAACTCGATCGAAGAATTAGATTTTTAAGGGCGAAAAAATCCTTCGACTGCCTTCCTTCGGAGGGGAAGTAAAGCCGGCAATCTCATGTTAGCAGATTTACTTGTATGTAAAAGATACTCAAGCCTAAATGACGCCTCTGAGCGAAATTAAAATCATCTGTTTCTCGCCCAAGAAATACCTCATTTCTTCGCTAGTTGGTAAAAGGAGTGTAGCAAAATTTGCGGGGTCAGACGGATGAGCGGGCCTGATGGCCTGAGTCTCGCCACGTAAAATAAGGCATTAATTCAATTCAATAAATAAATACAATAGCTGCTAATTACATAACTTCAAATAACTAAAAATTTTCCAAAATCTTCATATTAAAATTAATCATTAAAAGCTGATACAACCACACTAATTATTAATTAGACAACTATTAATACAATTAACTAATAACAAAAACCTGCAATGAAAAAACTTTTTGAAACTTTCAACTAGCCCTTATATATTTTTG